AGCTTGAATTATATGGAATAAAATGACGAAAATGAAAAAAACTTTAAAAAATACTGAGCATAATTGTGATTTTATGAGGGTGCGATTCCAAAATCTGTGATCAAAACAGATACATGATATGACATTTGCTTTGTTTGAGTATGACTCCAAATCTATTACTGGTTTAGTTTACACTTTCCATAACTTTCAGGAAATCATAGAGCATCAGGTCTGTGATTTTTGACAGTTCTTTCATTCCATAGAATTTACACATTTATGTGTGTGTATATGTACACTATTGTGTGCAAAACCATGATATTACATATGAATTTCTACCATATCATTACACAATCACGTATAATACATGATTTTTAAAAATATTCTAGATTCTGTAACAGCATGAATTCTTACCGACCTTATGAAGAGCTTCACTTGATGTCAGTCTGAGGAGGTGAATAAGGTAGAGAATGATGTATGGAGAGAAGAAGAGAGGAACTGAGTGACATTAAGGTAAAATCTGATGACATGCAGGCACTCAGATGGAGAAACGGTGAGTTGGTGTCACTGACAGTGGGGGGTCTGTGATACTGATATGTTTTAGTCTGTATGTGCGCTTGCATCTTAAGCACCGTTCTGACTAGAGTCTTGGGTCTCGTTCAGACCCCAGCATCCACTGGAGCAGGACAAGGTGACAGGAGAAGTAATGAAGATGAATGTGTGTGTGTGTGTGTGTGTGTGTGTGTGTTTCTGAGAAGGCTGCTTTTCTGCTCAGATTAAGATCAGGCTTGCTGATAAAAATGCCCGCCAGGCCACTCAGAAACCCAACACTCCTCTCTTCTCTTCTCTTTCCTCACCTCTCTTCATACCCCATTTTCCCATTCCCTTCATCTCCATCCATTCCTCTTGTATGAGTACAGGAATGAGCTTTTGGTTTCTGTCTTCCTTTATAGTCTTTTCAATAGAAGTTCATTTAATTGCAAATATTTCCCTCACTTTTCTATGTACAGTATGTTGTATTTGTGTGTGATAGAGCTGAAGGTCCGCTACAAAATATTGTTTGGGTAAAAATGACAAAAAAAATAGTACTGTAATGAAGAGTACTGTAGGGTTAGGGAGGTTTGAAATAACCATACTATATAAAATCCTAAAATAAAGTTATGAGAATAAAAAAAAACACATTTAAAATTTTGCACTATTTTTGAGAGAATGACAACAAATGGTCTCTAGCGACAAGCTAGACTGCTGTGTGACAACACAATTACAAACGGTCAGAATATATACTACTGTTTGTTTGGGGTCAGTAAGATTTTTTTTAAAGAAATTAATAATTTACACCATAAACTGTTCAAAGGACACACTAAATGAATCAAAGACTTCAATTTAAAGATAGATGCTGTTCTTTTGAACTTTGTTCATCAAAGAATCCTGAATGAAACATATCACGGTTTTCACAAAAATATTAAGCAGCACAACTGTTTTCAACATTGTTGTGATAATAACAAATGCTTCTTGAGCACCAAATCAGCATATTAGAATGATTTCTGAAGGATCACTGACACTGAAGACTAGAGTAATGGCTGCTGAAAATTCAGCTTTGGCATCACAGGAATAAATTACATTTTAAAATATTTTGAAATAGAAAGTAGTTATTTTAAATTGTAATAACATTTCACAGTATTATTATTTTTATTGTATATTTGATTAAATAAATGCAGCCTTGGTGAGCATAAGATAACACTAAAAATCTTACTGACCTGAAACATTTGACTGATAGTGTATTTGAGGTTTGATATGTGGCCATGGCCACCCAATGTGACATGTCAGCTACTATTATATTTCACACCAACATCTTCATCCATCCAGCTAATAAATTTCACCTCATCAGAAACCCTTCTTATTCATCATTTGCATTAAAACCGTCTGTCATGCTTCACTATATTATTTTGTTAAATCCTGAGTTCTCTTTATCTGACAAGATATTTTCTGATGGATGAAGTGAATAGTAGAGTGCTGTATGAGATAATTCATTTGACCTTTTATTCCGTCTCGAAAAAAATCTCTTCTCAGAACTGAGGCTGCCGGCGCATGCAGTGCAAAACCAAAATGGGCTTCTCTGAACCAGGTTTCATAAATCACTGTATGAAATCTGGATCCTAATCAGGGTGATGCACCCTCTCACCCGCCAGTGGAATTAGACCCAAACAGACCACTCAGCGGGGCCAGATCTGTGGCATTAGTCAGATACCATGCTGCCTATTTATTTGCAGGTGACATGTGGCTGCAGGCAACACTGATCTCTCTCTATCCTTCTGTTTCTATATATCTCTATCAGCGCCCTGATCCTCTAGGGTCACATTAAGTGTATTTAAGGCCACTGTTAAATGGCCTGAATTATCATACTGTAACGATTAGTAATAATGGCCCACATTCAAGGTAATCTGAGAACTGTACCGCAGCCTTATTGTGCACATGTGCTTCCCTATGAGATCATATAGGAAACAATTAATGTTTGACAGATTACAATACTTTCACTTTTACAAAATATTTTTTTGGGTCTATTTCAAACAAACACACAAACAGTATGTAAACCAAACAGCAGAGTAATACAGTGCTCACAAAATGTTTTCATTTGCAAATATAATCGAGCTACAGCAGGTTTTTGCATTGAGCTACAGTCTTCATCTGTGTGTCAAAGTATACATGACAATGCGTAATTGGATATTTGAATGATTAAATAGACGTTGTGCGTTACCTCTGTCTTTTGCAGCAAGTGCACAGCTCAGAGACCAGTTGTAGTCTGACTGACCTGTATAGATGCTGAATGAAGCCGAGCTACAGTCACATTATTTAGGTCAGTTAGTCCTATTTTGCAAAAAAAAAAGGCCTGGTATGACTGACTCGACATAACATTTTAAAAAGACAAATTGCTGTTTCAGTTCCACTAAAATCAAAGTTTCAAAGTGCATGTAAACTGACCAAAGGTACACTATTAGACATAAAGGTACGAAAGCTGTCACTGAGGCGTACCTTTTCAAAAGGTACACCTTTGCACCTAAAGAGTGGATATTGGCACCTTAAAGGTACATGTTAGTACCTATTGTACATATTAAATGGTACAAATGTGTACATTTTGAAAAGGTACCACCCCAGTGACAGAGTGTACGGTCACAAATTTCGGGGAAATTTCACAGATAAAAATAGATTGATATCTGTTGTTGATATGTATGAAGCACAGCTCACATAGAAGTCACTTTTAAACTATTCAGCTTTCTGTTGGTCAATGCGGCAAATTCGCTTGACTGTCTTGAACACAATGAGAAATCTGCGTGGGAAAATCTTTTTCCTTCAAGTGAAATTCCTGGTTGTGTAGATTCCTATTGAAGTAACTGGATTTCTGTACTGAAAATTCACTGAACAACCGCAAATGTGACCGCAGTTTAGCAGCAATTCTGGTACATAACAGGCTTTATACAGAAAATAAAGTGATTTATTATCAATCAGTTGTGTATTTCTTTTGATAAATGCCACAAATCATAAATTGTTCTCAAGAGTGGGTCATTGAATGCTATCACGAAATTGACCATTGTAAAAACACATTTTTCAATAAAAGCAGATCTTCTGAAAACATGTGTTGTCCCTAATCAAGGAGAGAAGAACAACAAACTAAAATCACAAGCAGACACAAGCCCCACTGTGACGGAGGCCTGTTCAAAGCTCCATCTGCCCTGTCATTAAACTAATCAGCTCATTATTGGACAGTTCATGTTGGTCATTGGTCAGAAAGGGAGACCCTTTTATTAAGCAGTGCTTACATCTGAGATCTCTCTTAAGATACCCTAATGCAAACTCTGATTTAAACCAAGGGGTCGATGGCTGGTTAGCATGACCCCTTTAAGGCAAAGCTGAATTTGCAGCAGCCATTTCTCCAGTCTTTAGTGTCACATGATCCTTCAGAAATCATCCTAATAAAATGATTTGGTACTCAAGAAACATTTCTTATTATTATCAATGTTGAAAACAGTTTCATATATCTTAATTATCTCACTCAGTAGTGTATACAGTATATATATATATATATATTGATATGGATATATATTTATTTCATTATAATATAGTATATATTTTACCAGCGTTCAATCCTTTATAGATGACTTTAAAAAAAAAAGATAAAGTGAACTTGTGCTGTCATGACATCATTATCCTGCAGTTTCAGAACAATTAGTCACATGACATTTATAGTTAAGATAATTGGCTTTAAAAAAAAACAATGGCAGAAGAGCATGCTGAAGAAAAGCAAAATAAAATGACTCTTTATGTCATACTTAATGTATTTATATGAACTTCTGCTGAAAAAATAATAACAGTTAACAAGTACCACAGCACAGGAGAGCTAAAGAGAGCTTAAACCTCTACCAGTCACAGCCAGTTAACACCTTTCTTCATGTTTACATAGGCAATGATGAGTTTTATAATAACATGTCCTTTTCGCTCACCTGTTAGCTAATGTCCTTAGTGCATGCTCATTTATATTATTAATATTACCTCTGTAGCTTCCAGAGAAACTCTCTGTTAGTGCTCCATGTGGAGTAAGCAGCCCACATAGCTGCCATCCGTTTTGTCCTCTTGAGCCGTTCTGACCAGCCTCATTCATTCTGTTATATTCAGTACCGATAGTCAGGGTAAAATACTGTCCAGTATGGGCACGTGATGTATGTTAAGCACACGGTTGTGTTTTCAATAACATATGATGTTATTAGCCATGATAATATCTGATAGGCTCAGAGTCAGTTTAAAATGTTATTTTAAAAGCAGCACACCTTTTGTCACAAAACAACACTCACAGAACCAAATTCTTACGTCAAAACGAAACAAAAAATACACCAACATGTTACAGCACAGGTTGTTCTTGAATCTTAAACCTTTACCGTCCTCTTAAAAGAGAGAGAGAGAGAGAGAGAGAGAGAGAGAGAGAAAGAGAGATAAATCTGCCATATCGGTGTGCAAAGTGTGCAAGGCGCTCATGAGAAATGTAAATTTCAGTTGTAGTGCTTTCACAAAATAAGTTCAAATAAGCCATGCAACAAGGGATTGGGGGGCAGGGTAAAAAAATGCAAGGGATGGACTTCATATCCCAGAATGCTGTGGACAAAATCCTGAGGAACGGGGTGAAGTGGCCGTGTCTCAGGTCTGGTCCAGCCATTCGGCACGTTTAGGAGCTTTGCAGGTGTGAATGTCGACAGCCTCTTCGCAGTCTTTGCACTCGACAGAGCAACACCACTTAAATTTACACTCGCACTTGGTGATGCGTTTTATGCGTGTGGTGTCGTAGCCCCGCCCACAACACATGACCTCGCAGCCGTCGGTCCCCCGGGACATCTTGTTACAGACCCGACCAGCAGTACCCAATGAACCTAGAATGCAAAGAAGGAAAATGATTACTAGTTTTGCTCCAAGACCCAGATTTTACATTGGCCGTCAAGTGGTGGCCCACAATATCCTACACTGTAAGAAATAAATCTGTAAAATAACAAAAACAAAAGTACTGGCAGCTCATTGCCGGGACATTATCCATTAAGTGCAAAATTCAAAATACAAGAAAAACACCTGTAAAAAATGAATATGTTTTTACGTTGTTGTTTTTTTGTGTACCCCCCAAAATAAAGCATTTTATAATGTATTAAGCCCACCACAAAAAAACAGTAAACAAATCATTTAATCATTCAATTCAATTCATTCAAAATGTAAATATAATTTCACTAAGATATATTTAGAGTGTGAAATTATGTTTATATATATATTTTTTATATATGCACCATGCTCTTTTATTATTAAAATCTTACAATAACAATATTCTTACTAAAATAATTTTTTAATATATTATTATTCATTATAATGTCATTTGGTTATTCATATAAATTATATTAATATATTTAGTATGCATATCTGCTTTCCATTTCTACATTTATATTTATGTTTATATTGGTATTTATAACCATGTTTCATTCTTTTTGACTACCACAAAACACAATTAAAAGGTTAATAACAAAAAAAAATTATTAAATCATTAGAAAAGATTCAAATGCGTAAATGCATATTTCTTGTAATGAATAAATTACCATAAAACCCTGATGTCCCAGATATGATACATTATTTTTTTTTTTTTTTACATATTTTGTCTAAAGGTTCATTAAACAGTTAGTTTAAAAAAAAAAAAGTTTAATATGTGAACAGATTAACTTAGAAATACAGACTTAGAAAAAAAGGTTCTTTATTTGGCATTGATGGATCCATGAAAAACCTTTCACGTTCATGGAATATTTCCATTGTACAAAAAGGTTCTTTATAGTGAGAAAAGGTTCAATAGATTGTTGTTAAAATGTTCTTACCACTGAGAAAAAATGGTTATATTGAGAACGGTTCATTGAAAGGTTAATTGGGGAACCTAAAACGGTATCGCTCTGACAAAAAATTTCCTTTTTACTTCATTTTCTTTATTTTTAAGAATACTTGCTAACTTTCTTGTAACACAAAGTAACAAGGAAAGTAGGACCATACATAATCAGAATGGTGTTTTGGTGAGTCTGTATGTTGATGTTTCGCAAGGTTAAACACACAGTGGACAGTGATGGTCTCTCTCTTAAAAAAAATAATCTCTGCCTGCCCTGCGGCCATGATAACCAGAGAGTGATGGTTGTGCTGGCAGCTTTGAAAGAATAGGATTTGAAAAATGAGCCTGTTGTATCCTTGGGGTGCAAATTCCACTGGGGTGGTGGTGTTGGTGGTGGTTAGGGGGTAAGCGCATTGATCCTCTGAAATCACTGAGCTGTGAGCTGTCTGTCTGACCCAAACACACACTCAAACCATCACACTGATGTATGAGCTGCAGTACTGATCTCAGAAAGCAGAGAAACACACTGTCCTAGCCAGGCAACGTGACACGTTTCCAGTAGGTATATGCTGTCTAAGCTATGAGTCGGCTAGTCAGTCTTAAGAATGTCCTGTATAATTATATAGTGTCCACATTTCTTATAGGGTGTTCACATGTGTTCTTGGGTTCAAAAACTGCTAAGTAGGACTGGCACACCACCTAAAAACGTATCACTTTAGAGATAAAACAATCCATCTATATAAATTATAAATAATGTAATAATATTCATAATTTATTTTATATATTAAATACACATTTTTAAAAATCAGTCTATTTCTGACATCACCAATTGAACATGGGATTTTTACAGGTATTCCAGATTATGTGTGTGTGAGAGAGCATTAAGGATTAACAGAGCAAAAAAATATCCCATCCCACCTCTTCTGACCTTGTCAAAGCCTCTGTTGCCCTTTCTACCCTTAAGGTTTATGGTTAGGTTTAGGGCAGGGCAGGTGTGAGAGTCAATTTACCTCAGTTACTGAATCCTATCTTTCTCTACACTATCAAGTCATGTAAAAATGAACACAGCCTATACCACTATGCATCTCAGGAGTGAGGATCCTCTAAGGAAAGTAACAGGTGACTCAGTCTATTAGTCTTGAAAAATGAAGCACTTTATATTCTCTCATAAACAGGATATTTCAAGGAATTGATACTATATTCTGGCTTTTCACTCATCAGACAGGCTGAGCACATCCTTTGTTCTGACGTCTGGTATGATCTAACTCTTAATTCTGAGAAATCCGTGAAACCCAAGTTTGACATTAATTTTGTTAATACTGAGTGAGTCAGCAGCAGCAGAGTTAACTATTTGTGTCATTAGTAATGCATGAGTCACAATAGTCTAATGCTACTTGCATTATTACTAAATGAGTTTACACTGCTTGAAAGGCATTGCTGTGCTGATATTCTTCAAACATTTAGGCTTAGTTTATTCTAAACTCTTAAACTCTATTTATTAAACAACTGGACAATTAATTGAACCTGAACAGCTTAATCTTCAGACTTTGTGCTGTAGATCATGTCAGTGGTCATGATGCGTGATATCTTTGATTCATTTGTAAACATTGTGCTTTTTAAGAAATATAAGAAAAAAAAACATTTGCTATTTCATGCATGTATTCTTTGTGGTACAGGCATAACCAGAAGCAATCTGTAAAAAAAAAA